GGGCACAACTACTTACCGTCGGCATACGCCTTCCGCCTAAACTTGTCTTATTCCGATGATAATAACTTCGCCTTTGTCCTTGATTGGGACAAAGATGAAAAGCCTCGTATTTTTTTCCTAGTAGGGACAAAGACGAAAGCTTTGTTGCTACTTGCTAGCCAAGTTTTTTTTTTTTTTTTTTTTTTTTTTAATATAACAATCAAACATTATTATTATTATTATTATTATTATTATTATTATTATTATTATTATTATTACATTGTCACATAATTCTAAAATATATACAACTCAATACTAGATCAGATAAAAAAAATTACATGTCATGTTTTCAACATATTACATAATAATGACCTAGTAAAAATACTAGTTTCTTTTACAAGTTTAATGATTTAATTGATTTTTTTTTTTTTAGTTCAACAGCTTTATTACACTATTGCTGCTAGTTTAAGTGTGTATTTGACACTTCTCCAATAGTTTTCAAATTAGTTATTTATTTAAGTACAAGTTTCATCACAATTCGAATTTAATTTTTACTTACAAAAAAAATAATGTTATTTGGACCAATATTTAGCAAATAATATGATGCGAGATAATTGGATATTAGTAAATTGTTCCACCACACTATTACTTAATTAGTAAAATGATTTTGATTGATATCACATTATGACAAAAAATAAAAATTGAATTGTAAATCAGGACAATGACCCACCACCCACCTGTAGCTCTGTGTATGATAGTAGTACAATTTTTTTTTTTCATTCATTATAATTAAAACGTGGGAATAATATATATTTTTAAGAGTAGACTTAATATTTTTTTCATACGTAATTATGTGATCAGCCACATTAGAACTATTAATTTAAAGAATCCTGAGTAATTTTTGACAACTTATACTATGAATCATTATAAATATTCATTTTTAGTATACTGAAAGTCTATTTTTAATGTACTACATGTTCATTTTTAAAAATAATATGTTAAAAATTAATTTATAATATATTAAAAATAAACTTATAATACATTAAAAATAAACTTTTAGTATACTAAAAATGAATATATATATTAGTGGCCATATTGCAGACTGAACCATGCAATACTTATATCATGGATCCGGGTCTAAAATACACAATTTACATATTAAATGTTCATAATTTACGTATACAATTTACATACTTAATGTTCACAATTTACCTTTTACAAAATTGTAAATATTCAGTATATAAATTGTGTATTTTGAATCAGAATCCACCTTGCAATATGGATCCGGATCGACGGAATAATTTGCCAGAACCATGATTTTGGGCAAATTATGCCCTGGAAACGTGTTCACCATGAATGGTGAACACGGGTCCAAACGACGCTGTTTTTACGTAAAAAATAAAAAATAAAAATAAATTCGCGGATGTGGTGTTAACGGCGCTCGTTTGGTCAGATTATGAATTTTCTGTTATGAGATTATGAATGCACTGTAAATTCATAATCTCATAACAGAAAATTCATAATCGCATAAAAGAAAAACATTTACTCCGTATTAAATTATGAATTTTCTGTTATGAGTGAATTTACTGTAAATTCATAATCTCATAACAGAAAATTCATAATCTCAAAACAGAAAATTCATAATCTCAAAACAGAAAATTCATAATCTCATAACAGAAAATTCATAATTTCATAACAGGAAATTCAAAATTTATGAATGTTGAAGAAGCTTGCGTTACAGAGGAGCAGTCATGGTTTCGGACGGGAATGTGTAGGCACGGGTCCAAAGTGAATGTGCAAGCATGGATTCATAATTTATGAATGTCCGAAATCATTGCTCACCTCAAATTAAAGTGAAACCGCGAATTGTGAAAATGAAGAAGAAAAGTCACGCGATTAAAAAAAAAAGAAAAAAGAAAAAAGAAAAAAGATAACGGTGCACTAACACCGTTGGGACCGTGTTCACCATGGATGGTGAACACGGTTTCATGGCATAACGATCGATGATTTTGAGTATAATATATAATTTTTTATGTGATTGAATGTGGCCCAAAGACAGGAATTCAAACCTACTCGATGAGGCTTCCAGAAACATTGTTTGGACTTGGGCCTAAGAGGTCGGACAAAAGGTCCAAGAAGCTAACCCATTAAAGAAGGATCTTTGTATGATTTTGCTTAATTTCGATGCAACATAGAATATTTCGATTTTTCTCTGGAAGTATGATTCTTGTTATTTATCATATCATATGAAAATATTATAAGCATTCAAATTTAGGTCACTCACACAGCAATTCGAAGTTCTAATCTCTACAATCAATGTGAAAACTGTAATCAATGGACCAAGATTATAGTTAATTCATGCACACGTTTTAAAGAATTAGAGTTTTCTTTTCAAATTTTTGTGCATTTTACAACTACAACAGAAAGATAATATGCAACAGACTTGACTAAAAATCATATTTTACTTATTTGACTATCTCTTTCAAGCATTCTAAGACTACTTTTATGACTATAAAAGTTGGAATTCAATCAAAATTTGATAACATCTCACACATCAACATAGCATTAATCTGATCAATTTTACATACTAATTTTGAAGAGTTTCAAGTTTGGAATTGTGTGTAATTATTTCCCTTTTTTCCGTTTATGTTTATCATACAATCTAGTCTGTGTGCATTCGTGTAGTAACTTATATGCATTTAAAAATCGTGTCACGGGAAAAGATGGTATCATTTGATTATATATATTGGTACATCAACGATCCCAAAGGTCAAGCTACTTAGTCCTCCATGTTGTGTACTAGCTAGGGTTGTCGATAGCATTGGCCATAAGGAGATCCTTTACGGGGAGTTTGGTTGGGATTTGAGAATAGAGAATTAGGGTGAAAATTTTATAATTTGGCGTGAAAAGAATAAGATAAAAATAAAGTAGGAATTCGAATTAAATTCTTTGGTAGGGAGGAATTGAATTATTAGAAATGTGAAGAAAATAAGTAATATTTTTTTAATTGACACTTTATTATATCATTTACTTTTCCTAAATACGCATTCTATCAAAATAAGGAATTCAAGGTTGAGTATGAAAGATTACAAATAAAGAATCTTGAAAGTTGTTTTCTTGTATTTTTTTGAAAAATCAAATCTTGGTAAAGTTTTTTTTTTTTTTTAAATTAATATTCTTGTTATTATTTAGAACAATACTAAATATTTTAACAATGCTTTTGTATTATTGGGAATAATTTAGGTTATTATGGTATTACTATTCTTTGTTTGTATTTTTATATTAGTGCAATTGTACATTACTTTATAAATATTGTACTATTATTTTTTATCAAGCAAAATACACTTTTCATTTGATGATGTAGTCTTTGATAATAAATTAGTGGGGCTCCAATTCATGACATCCAATTGTTATACGCCATGTTAGGATGGATTTCAAGTTTGGGGGGTGGGGGTGGGGGGAGGGAGGGAGGGAGAGTAATCTAGACTATTAAAAAAATATTAGATGAATACGCATGATTTGTATTCACGTTCTCACCTAAACAAGTGTTCTCATTGGAACCCTACTATATATATATATATATATATATATATATATATATATATATATATATATATATATATATATATATATATATATATATATATATATATATATATATATATAGAGGCGGGTTCAGGTGCGGCAGTGTCTTACGGTGCGGTTATTTCTTACGGTGCGGCAACACCAATAGTTCACCAAATATGCACCATGAACGTTAGGAAATACACCACACAAAACAGAGTAAACAGAGTCCTGCATCACCAAACACACACCATTAGGTGTGAGTAAAAACACCATACACTGTTCGAAAATACACCATTGGGGGTGTTGAGTTATATGGTGTGTTTTTTTTGAGTCTGTAGTGTATTTTGTGATGTTTTATTACATTTCATTGGGGTGTGTTTTTATTACACTGTTGGTGTATTCTGGAATTTGACCGCACCGCCGCACCGTAAGACCCCGCCGCATATGAGCGCTCTTTTATTTATATATATATATTGATACTGCTAATTATACGTAAGCAATATGAAATAAGCCGAGACCGAATAAAGCAAGTAAATGTCTTTATTGATCACGGTAAAGGCCCTAAGTACAATCTACTTGGTTGCTCTGAGTACCGACTGACTGCGGTCGGGATTCTCTAACAACAACCTATCGATCGTCCAAAAGTCCCCCACACTGTAGCTACTGTGGGTATTTATAGCCGCTATGCCGGGGACAGGATTCCAGCCGTTCGGCATGTCCTCCACGTAGCCACCACGTGTCGTCCTCCCGGGTGCCCTGTCTGTCGTCGTAGAGAATCGCCACGTGTCTTTCGTCAGCTCTCTCGCCAAAGGGCTACCGCTTGGTGGTCAACACCGTCGCTCGGGCAACTCCCGGTTGGCCCCCGACCGGGTTCTTCTCAAGGAGCCCGACCTGTTACCTGCAAAGACAAAGAGAAAAAGACAAAGGCCTCTCGGTCGTGGTGAAGCTATGTCGGTCGGGATATTCCCTACCAAGAGCTCCCCAGCCCGGGCCTTTTTGATCGTCCGGGAAAAAATGGGCCGGGATGAAGAAGCCCAACCGCCGGTCGCTAAACCGACCGGCCAGCTGTCATTCCCTTCTCCGCCACGTGTCGGCCACTGCCGGCCTCTGCGACTGCAACCGTCGCCTCGGAATCAGCGCTGGTCGTGTCACGCAAGTGGACGACTTTCCCGCCTAAATGCTCTTCTATAAATAGGCCCTTGAGGCCCTCATTTGAACTTTCCTCACTCTTTTGCTTCAATCGGTACCCTCAGAGAGCCCCGAGCAGAGCACCTTAGCGAGGCAGTCGAGCTAAAAGACTTCAAGCTTTCATTCGCAAAGTTCTTCCATTTGGTAAGTTCTCAACCCTTCTTTTACTTTACGCTTTCATTTATAAGTAGAATCGTTAGGTCAACTAACTGTCCCGGACGTCTCAAGTCCTTTACTAACCCCGACCGACCTTTAGGTAGATCGAAATGACGGACTCTGACAGCCAAAACGCCTCAATTGCGGACTACGACGAGGAGGTCGAGTACCTCAGCGATGAGGAAGTGGACATCATGTCCTACTCTCCCGAGGCCATTCACCGACCGGCGCCAGCCCCCGAGCGGGCTTCCGAACAAAATGACGCGTCAAGCTCCTCCGAGTCATCGAGTTCCAGCTCAAGCGGATCGGGGAGCTCCGGAGAAGAGGAAGAAGGACCCTCGTCAGGCAGACGGGGTTCACCGGTCGAAGGTGCTAAGGAAACGCCGACCCGGGTGGTTGGGGACCACCCGGAAGCCGTTGCTCGAGGAAGCGACCGGGAAAACACCCCCGAGCAAGCCGAGGAAGACACGACCGGGCCGGCCGCACCAGCCGCCACAGAGTTCGAATTCTTGAACAGCGAGAATGTCGAACAACAAATGAGCCGATTGACCACAGGCGAGGCGGCTAAGATTGCTGAAAGGCTCGTAGGTCGGGTGGAATTCGATACGAGCCGGAAGTTAGGGAATGTCATCGATCGGCATCGGGGCAAATGGATCGGGATGCATTACGACTCCCTGATGGCTCCGATCGCCATTCCCTTCACCCCCCTCCTGAACGCCTTCTTGGCCTACTACCGGGTCGTCCCGGCCCAGATTTGCCCCAATGCGCACCGGATCATCGCCTGCTTTCCGCAGATATGCGCTCGGCATGAAGCCGCCTGCACGATGGAGCTGTTCAACTTCATCTACCAAGTCAAAGTTCTCCCGGGTAGCTACGGGGGCGGGTTCTTGATGCTACAGTCCCGAGCCGACATGTGCGCAATCAGAGGCCTGCCCGGGAACAACAAGGGGTGGAAGAATAGGATTTTCTCCCTCAAATACGACTCCTGGATTCTCCCGGTTGACCGCGCTTGGAGCACCCACTTTCGGAAACAAGTGGTGCCGGACGAGACGCAAGCGCTCAGGGAGACGGTCAGTCGGATCTCGAGCGAGCTGCACGAGTATACAATCTTCCGAACGGCCGAGAGCCTCGAGGCGGCTAAACTCCCGCCCCCTACATACGAGCTACAGGAGAAATATCTGCCCGTGCCGACGGGCGTGACGGTCGCCAAACCGTCGAGGTGAACGAAGAAAGGTTTTAACTCGAGCTAACCCTCCCGACTTAACTTTATGCCTCGATCACACTAACTTGATTTCTTTGTTTGCAGCTATGGCAGAGTTCGGTGATGAAGATGCCCCCCTTCCCCCGCCCGCCAAGATCTCCCTTGGCGGCAAGAAGAAAACGAAGGCGAAGCCAGCGGGGGAAAAGGAGATCCCCTTGGCCCGACCGCTAAGCGCCTCGACCGTGACGACGGCCGAGGGCTTCGTCGTGGAACCATCTGACGTCCTAGTCACCCGGGTGGAAGTCGCCCGGGAAAAAGAGAAGGTGCCCGAGCAGGGCGTGAGGGAGGTGGGCGGCATGAAACGCCGCCGCGAGCAACGCAGCCCGAGCCCTTCGGTCGGGCGAGAAAGGGACGCTTCGTCCATATTGGCCCGGATTGGCAATGCGGGGCGAGCCAAAGAAGATCTGGGGAAGATGACCCCCACACAGGTAGCCGAGAGGATCGGCTATGATCTGGCCGAGGTAAGCCTTCTTTAGCTATTCATCTTTTTTGTGTCTTCGACCGGGCTAACCCCGACTGTCTTTGTCTTTGCAGATCTCCCGAGCGGCCCAATTATTACAGGGTCGGGCCATGCTGGCTGAGGAAGCCGACCACCATAGGAAGACGGCCGCCCGTCGCCTTCTGGAGGTTAAAGAGCTCCAAGCTGAGCTCGAGAAGGCTCAAAAGGCCTTAAAAAAGAGCGACGAGGACCGGGCCCTGGCGGAGAAGGTTGCCCATCGGGCAATCGAGGAGGCCAAACAGCTGAAGGCTCAGCTCGGTAACCCGAGCGAGTTGGCGCAAGCGGTCTTCAAAGACAGCGACTCGGGCTCAGCCTTCCTCACAGCAGCCCGGGGGACAAAGATCGGGGAGGATCTGATCCTCTCGTTCGGGCGGTGGGCCTTCAAGGCCGGGCAACGGAAGATGCTCGAGCGGGCTCGTACTCGGATGGAGCAAGCTCTCGAGGGGGAGGACCTTCAGCTGGTTCTCTCGACGCTGCCCCCGGACTTGGCTGATCCCGGTCCTTCTCCCTTCAGCCCCAAAGAGAAGACAACTGAGCAAGGCGGGTCTTCTGCGGCCGCCGCGAGCGAGAAGGAAGCTGCCGGTGCTCGGGAAGCTGCTGGAACTCGGGAAGCGAAGAAGTAGGGATAAGCTTCTGTCTGTTTTTTTTGTAAAGGGACACTGATCGGGAGCCCGGTCCCGAATTTTGTACCGGGCGCTTTTGCTGATTAATAAAATTAATTAACTTTTTTTCCAACTTATCCCTTTCATCTTCGAGCACCCACTGATCTCCATCGCTTGACCGCCCGGCCTTCAGGCCCGGTCTTGCAATACTCGACCCTGCTAACGCCCGACCTTAAGGCCTATGGCTTGGTCGCACATCTGATGTTTCGTCGTAACATTGGCCAATCTGACCGAGTTTACCCGATCTTCCGGCCTTGACGATTTTTTGAAAGTAGATTCGTCATAATATTGACCTACCCGACCAAGTTTACCCGGTCTCCAGGTCTTGACGAATTTTCCGAGCGATATGGGCCTATCACCACTTCATTTATCCCAGCCCCCACACTATTGTGCCCTCGAGGCACGAGTGGGTGCGATAGTGGACAGAAGTTGGACGGATCGGGGAATTATGCTGAGGGCTCCTGGCTTCCCCGATCAATGGCGTGACTCGAATGTCCGCCGATGTGGAGCGCATCTGACCGGTCGATAGATTCGCCCGGTCGGTGTAGCTTGAAGATAAATTGATCTGCATGCACTGAATGTATAGAAAATAACCGATCAGGCCGCCGTATGCAAACGGTCGAGCAATCACCGATCGTATATACATTAATCCTTCCCGCTCGCAGGCGGTTAAGTAAATATTTACAAACATAGGAATTTAATTACAAACGACGACCGGGCCCTACACGCAGGTCAAGCCCCCTCTTCGTCCAAAGATTACAAAAAAAAGAGGCTTAATGCCTAAACATAACGAGGTGCTCGGAATTCCAAGTCCCCTCGATTACCCGACCAGTTGTCGTCTCCAGTCGGTATGTACCCGGCCGTATGATCGCACTGATGATGTACGGCCCTTCCCAATTTTGAGCCAATTTTCCGCCCTCCAAAGGCTGACTGGCCTCCCTTCGTCGCAGAACATAGTCTCCAACCTGAAAATAACGAGGGTTGACCCGAACATCTTTAGAACTCTTAACTCGCTTCTGATACTCGGCCATACGTCGAGCGGCTAGCTCTCTTTTTTCTTCGACCCCATCGAGATCCACCGCCATAGCATGTTCATTTTCCTCGGCATTGTAGGTTCTCTCTCGATCGGTCGGGATCCAAGCCTCGATCGGGAGTCGGGCTTCAGCCCCATAAACCAGGGCGAAAGGGGTCTCCAAAGTAGCTTCCCTCGGGGTCGTCCGATAAGTCCATAAGACATATGGCAACTCATCGGCCCAAAATCGTCCGGTTCGCGTTCTCCACTTGACCGTTTCCCTGAGGGTAAGCCACCGACGACCGGACGTGAGTCGTCCCGATCGTGGCCAAGAAGTTCTGGAAATATTGGCTTACGAATTGGCGGCCATTGTCGCTGATGAGGTGTACGGGCACGCCAAAGCGGGAAACCACATTGCGCCAAAGAAAACGAGCACATTGCTGAGAGGTGATTGTAGCTAAGGGCTCGGCTTCTATCCACTTGGAGAAGTAATCAATGGCGACGATCACGAACTTTCTCCGACCAGAGAGCTGAGGGAAAGGGCCCAAGATGTCTACCCCCCACCTCGCGAAAGGAATTGCGGTCGTGACCGGCTGATAAAAGGTTGCCGGTCGTCCAGGCATCCGGGCGTACAGTTGGCACGTCTCACATACCCGAGCTAACTTTTCACAGTCTAGCTGGAGGGACGGCCAATAGTACCCGATCAGCATGATACGACGGGCCAGGGATCGGCCTCCTTGATGTGAAGAGCAAATTCCCGAGTGCAGTTCCTTCATAACTATATCGGCCTCAAAGGCGGTCAAGCAACGCATGAGGGGGCCTCCATACGATCGTCGATATAGGCGACCGTCCAAGACTTGGAACCTTGGGGCTCTAAGCTTGGCCTTCCGAGCACGCTGTGGGTCGTCTGGGAGGCGACCGTGCTCGAGGTATTCCTTCAGATCGGTGATCCAATTGTCATATACCGGTTGGATGGGATTGACCGGTAGCCGGTGAATACTGTGCCTCGGGATCACCAAGATCCGAGCTATCTTCGACATGTGTTCCGGGGCGTCTTGAGCTAATTTGGATAAGATATCTGCATCGACGTTATCCAATCGGGGTATGTGCCGGACGGTATATCCCCGGAATTGAGCGAGCTTCTCCATGGCAAGGTCTCGGTATAACTGCAAACGCTCACCGTTGACTTCATAATCTCCGAGAACTTGGCCAACCACGAGGGCGGAATCGGTTTGAGCCCGGATGTATTCAGCCCCCAAGTCCCGAGCGCACTGTAAGCCGTTAATGAACGCTTCGTACTCGGCTTCGTTGTTGGTCGGGTGGAACTGGTACATGAGAGCAAAATAGACCTTGAATCCTTCCGGGCTCGTGACCACCACTCCTCCTCCTGCCCCTTTCCTGCTACTTGACCCATCTGTAGCCAGCGACCACCACTCAGCCTCGGGATCCGCAACCTCAGGAGGCCGGGTATCCCGGGCGGTGCACTCAACCAAGAAGTCCGCAAGAGCTTGACCTTTAATAGCCGGTCTCGGTCGGTATTCGATCGCGTACTGGGTCAACATTAACGCCCATTTGACTAGGCGACCTGATGATGAAGCGGTTCGGAGGACTGGCCCGATCGGCTGATCGGTCAACACGCGAATTGCTCGACCTTGGAAGTAGGGAGCCAACTTCTTCGCGGCAATGTATAAGGCGTAGACGACCTTCTCTAGCCGGGAGTACCGGAGCTCGGGACCATGTAGCGCGTGGCTTACATAGTACACCGGTCGCTGGACCCCTTCCGGATCGGTTCGGCACAACACTGCGCTTACTGCACGATCGGACACGGCGAGGTACACGTCTAGCTCTTCTCCGAGCTCAGGCTTTGAGAGCACGATCGGTGACATGAGATATTCCTTCAACTCATCAAAAGCCGCTCGGCATTCTTCGTTCCAGACGAAACCATTAACCTTCCGCAATACCTTGAAGAAAGGTAAAGCGCGCTCGGCTAGCTTGGAGAGGAACCGGCTGAGGGCTGCCAACCGACCGGTCAATTGCTGGACTTCCCGAACGGTGGAAGGTGGCTGCATGTCCAGGATCGCTTTTACTTTGGCCGGGTTAGGCTCGATTCCTCTCTTGGTCATCATATAGCCGAGGAACTTGCCGGTCTGAACCGCGAATGTGCACTTGGTCGGGTTCAGCCGCAACTGGTACTTCCTCATGATCTGGAAGCACTCCCGGAGGTCCCGAGTGTGGTCGGACCGGTCCCAACTCTTGACCAGCATATCGTCGATGTAAGCTTCCATCGTCCGGCCCAGTAGGTCGGCAAAGAGCATGTTGACCATCCTCTGGTAGGTCGCTCCTGCGTTCCGGAGGCCGAACGGCATTACTCGGTAACAATACAGCCCATCCGGGGTCACGAAGGCTGTCTTGCTCTCGTCTTCATGGTGCATCATGATCTGATGGTACCCCTTGAAGGCATCCATGAAGCTCATTAACTCGGCCTCGGCCGTCTCGTCGACCATCTGGTGAATGCTCGGTAGAGGATACGGGTCGAGCGGACAGGCTTTGTTGAGGTCCGTGAAATCGATGCACATCCTCCATGCTGGGGGCTTAGGAACAAGAACGATATTTGCCACCCACTCGGGATAAACCACCGGACGGATGTGCTCGATCGCCGCCATCTTTTTGACTTCTTCTCTGACAAACTCGCGGCGATCGGAGGAAAGGTGTCGTGTTTTCTGCACGACCGGCTTGGCTGCGGGATCGACGGCTAACTTGTGACAGATGACCGACCGATCGATTCCGGGCATGTCTTCGGGCCCCCACGCAAAGATATCAGCATACTCCCGGAGTATGGCCAAAACTTCCGCTCGAAGCTCGGGGGTGAGGGCTCGGCCAATCTTGACCCTCCTATCCGGGCGATCCTCAGATAGGGGAACTTCTTCTATTTCCTCGGAAGGCTCGGGCTGCTCCTTCCGTTCCTTAGCCTCCTCTTTGGCTATGGTGTTCACCCGGGAAGATGGACCAGAGTCACGTCTATTGACCGCTCGGGTGTAACATTTCCGGGCGGATTGGACATCACCACGGACCACGCCGACCCCATTGGGGGTGGGGAATTTCATGCACAGGTGGGGCATAGAAATTATCCCACCGATCTTCATAATGGCGGGTCGGCCCAAGATAATGTTGTGGACGCAATGGAGGTTGACCACAACAAATTCCAGCTCCGTCTTGATCGACTTTGGAGGCGCGCCGATCTCGACCGGGAGCGTTATCTTTCCCTCGGGGTAAATGAGAGCCCCGGTAAATCCTGACAGTGGTACACCGACCGGAGTCAGCTCCTTCCTGTCGAGGCCAAGCTTCTCAAACACGTCCAAGTATAGGACGTTCACACTGCTACCCGTGTCCACCATAACCCTTTGGACGTCCGTCCCCTTAACGTCAATCGTGACCACGAGCGCCTCCATGCCGTGGTCGCTGCTGGTAGGTTGGTCCTCGAGGGTGAAGGTTATGGGCTCCATCTTCTGCCTCTTCCCGGTCTCCCGGGAATCCACTATTGCGACCGGGCAATTAGTCCGCGGTCGGGAAGCATCTTCCAGCCCACCAAAAATGACGTGGATGGTAGGCTTTCCGGACGGGCGGCTACCGGACGGAGGGTCAGGGTCCCGTCGGTCATCATGACGATCGTCCCTTCGGTCGTCTCTTCGGTCCTGACCTGACCGATCGGAGCGGTGATGAGAACGCCTATGATCTCTCCGATCGGCATTCTTCCTGTTGTCCTCTCTCTTCCCCACACACTTGTCCAATTTTCCCAGGTTGAGCAGATCTTCCAACAATTGGCGCAAGTGGGTACACTCCTCGGTATCATGCTCGGCGCATCGATGGTAAGCACAGTGCTTACTCTTGTCAGGGCCGTCTCGATCGGGATGGGGGAGTTTGATGAGATTGCAGGACTGGGCGTATTGCATGGCCTCCGCTGCGGATCGGTTCAAGGCCGTAAACTCGCCAGGCCTGGTGCGGGATCGGGGATTGTCATCTCCCGACCGATGCTCCGCCCGCCCGGCCGGCTTACGGGACGAAGAGCCGACCTCCTGCAAGCGCTTTACGGCGTTCGCCTCGCCGGCGTTGGCGTAATCTGTGACCCTCCGAAGGGCCTCCTCATAACTGGTCGGGGGGTGTAGGATGAAGTCCTGATACAAATGCCCCGCCCGGAGAGATATGTGGAGCATGTGGGTGGCGGTCGCATCGTCCATAGGCTCGACCTCCCCAACCGCTGCTTTCCATTTGATGAGGAAATCGGTCAAGCTTTCCCCTTCTAGCTGCTTGGCCTTCTCGAGATACATGTAGGACTTCCTCACCACTTTGGAAGTGATGAACTTCCTCACAAATTTAATCGCCAGAGTCTCAAATTTATCGATAGACCCCGGTTGCAGGGTACGGAACCATTCTGCCGCCCGACCGGTGAGGGTCGAGTAGAAGGCCCTGCACATCACGACGTCCGAAACGCCCTTCAGCATCATGTTGCTGAAAAAATCATTCACGTGGGCCTCAGGATCTGCCCGTCCGTCATAACTCTTCTCTCCAGAGACCTTTAAGTCAAGCGGGTAAGGCTGGGCCATTACCGCTGCCGTGAAAGGCGTCTGGTGCAGGGTCGATTGGTTGACCGGGGGTGTTGCAGGGTACGCATTCCTGAGCTGCGCAACTTCCGTCTGGAGGTTATAGAGCAATCCTCGGGTTTCGTTGAGCTCGGCGGCTTGGGCTGTATCCCGAGCGCGTCGCCGTCGGTGAGATCTCGACCCGCTATACCCAGATGAGGCCTCCTGACTAGCCTCCTGCATCTGTACGTCTTCTTGCCTGCGGTTCGGGTCTTGGGGTCCCAAACGCTGGCGCATCTCCGGTCGAAGACGATCAAAAGCTACCGCTCGGGCAACTTCTTCAGGGTCCTCCGCTTGGACGGCCTGAGCTGGTGCCTCCATCGCATCAGCACCCCTCGACCCCAACCGCGAATGAGCCGAGCGTCGAGCCCGGGACGCGGACTGACGCTGCGGCTCTACCTGTGCGGTCGGTTGTACTGGAGGGGCGGCGGCTGGAGCTGTATAAGCAGGCGTATATGGTGGATAACCAACCGGGGGAGTGTAGCACATCGGTTGGCCTGGCCAATATCCGTACGATGGAGGTGGGACCGGGTATGGATACTGGGCGGGATACATCATCGGCTGCTGCTGGTATGGCAGACCGGGTGTTGGGTACCCCGGTTGTATGTAATTCACCGGCTGTTGGGTGGCCGGGTACGCATTTGATGGATGCGGTGGTGAGAGGTTGAGGTTGAGGTCCATCGTCTGACCCTGCTGTTGGGTAGCATAGTGGTCGGAGGAGCTCGCCGCATCCGCCTGGTCGTCGGCAAAGTTGTTGTGTGCCCACGGATACATGTTGATATAGAGACCGAGTGCTCGTCAAGACGTTGGTTTCTTGCACGATCCCCACAGACGGCGCCAAAATGATACTGCTAATTATACGTAAGCAATATGAAATAAGCCGAGACCGAATAAAGCAAGTAAATGTCTTTATTGATCACGGTAAAGGCCCTAAGTACAATCTACTTGGTTGCTCTGAGTACCGACTGACTGTGGTGGGGATTCTCTAACAACAACCTATCGATCGTCCAAAAGTCCCCCACACTGTAGCTACTGTGGGTATTTATAGCCGCTATGCCGGGGACAGGATTCCAGCCGTTCGGCATGTCCTCCACGTAGCCACCACGTGTCGTCCTCCCGGGTGCCCTGTCTGTCGTCGTAGAGAATCGCCACGTGTCTTTCGTCAGCTCTCTCGCCAAAGGGCTACCGCTTGGTGGTCAACACCGTCGCTCGGGCAACTCTCGGTCGGCCCCCGACCGGGTTCTTCTCAAGGAGCCCGACCTGTTACCTGCAAAGACAAAGAGAAAAAGACAAAGACCTCTCGGTCGTGGTGAAGCTATGTCGGTCGGGATATTCCCTACCATATATATATATATATATATATATATATATATATATATATATATATATATATATATATATATATAAACATGATCAAATATGAACTAATTTTTGATCCATTCATCTAGGATGACTAAAAAAGTGTACTAAGAATATGAAAGTGTACTAGTACGAATATGAGATTGAGATTGTACTACACTCCCAAATACCATTCAAACAATCCAACCTCACCCAGGTATACTACTCAGCCACACCCACAGCTTCTCCTCCTCAATTTTTCGCTTCCACTTTTTGCCAAGTTATTTTTCAGATGGCCTCCGTCATAGCGAGGTTGCCTCCCCACCCAGCTGTGTCTATCAATGGAAGACGGCCTCTTTTTGGACTTAGTCCGATATCTACTCTTCGTACTTTTTCGGGTAGGCTTCTTTTTATGGTACTATGTATATATATATATATATTAGCCCTTCAAGGTTCAAAAATTTGACCTTGAATTTGGGTAATTTTTTTGTGACATTAGAAGTTATGATTCAATCAAGAAACCTAGATTGTTGAGCTCGAGTAAAGATGCAAGCTTTTTAAGGGAATTTTGCCTTTTTTTGTTATTGTGTCATATTTAAGTTAGAAAAGAGTTATGTAAATAAGTACAATGCTTGAGGTTGCTGAAGATTTTAGATCTTTGGGATGAAATAGATGATTAATTCTGTCATTCTAGCTTTTTGGGATCAGATTTTGACAGCTTGCTCACATGACAGATGGAGCACTGTATTCTAATTAGGTTTTTATGCATTTCTTCTATTCGTGGAAGTCTGTTGTCTGTCCATTTGATAGAAATATATTTTTGCTTAAGAAGATGAAGAAAGTACTGTATATGGCATGCTCTCTTAGCCAGCATAGTATTTCTATTCAAAAAGAATTTCGTAGAACTGGTTTGCTCTGGAAGATCCTGACACTATAAAGTGGTTCCAATTAAAGCGTGAGATGCGACTGCTTCTCATAATGTGGAAATGTTGACTAGATTGATGGAACTAAAAAGTTTATTACATTTCATTGTCTAAGGGTTTCTATGTCTAAATAATTTATGTTGTTGGTGAATGCAACCTTCTATCGGCATTTGGATAGTGCAGATGTTAAAACTACTAATGCCAAAGTATAAGATTTGGTTCGGGAGGTGCTATTCATGCTTTTATTATGTTAAAAGATGCAAGGCTGTTAGAATTATGATCAACAAAATTTGTAAGGATATAGTAAAGATGAATGTTAACAAATGGTGCAAAATCTAGCAAATGCCATAACCCTTTTAAGTTTTGATTAGATACTGGTCCTGTTTGGTAACATAGTTAGCTTATCTGCCATCTTTGGCTTATTTGGCCACTATTAGCTGTTTGACTTGGTTAAACAATCAATATGAGTGTTTAATTAATTAGCTTTTTGAGAAAGTAGCTTTTTTCGATCAGCTTTTTGAGAAAGTCGTTTTGCATATAATCAGCTATCAGCTAACAGCTAATTTACCAAACACTTTTCTACAATCAACTAATGATATCAACTAGTCAAACCTACTAACTCAATCAGCTAATTGCTATTTACCAAACAACCCCAACGGTGAATATTAAGAAAACATAGGTGAAATCCTTAGTTATTTGCTTTATATTTTTCAAATCAAATCGTAATGTGTGGAAAGAGAGAAAGAGACCAATGAAACTCCAAAACCAGAAATGCTCTACTTGATACAATTTGATTGAAAAAAACACTAAAGCAAACACTCTTGGTACATGGGTAGAGTTGAAAGTTCCATTCCATCACTTATTTTCATTGATTTGTGTTATTCTTCTATTTCAGAGAAACCAGTTCGTTCAACAATTGCTGCAAAGGCCACTAGTCAAGGCTCTGAATCTTCTACCTCGATTTCTTTTAAATCTATACGGAATGTTGTGAGTACCCGTCACTGCCATCAGATCAGCCTTTATTTTTCCTATCCTTACACAGTAGATACACCTTCTGTTTCATAATTGTTGTTATTATAACCAAAATTTCCAACACAAATTTTGCATTTTGATATAGTTTTCTACTAATTATTAGATTCTTTTTCCCCGGTTGAAATACACTATAGAGTACTTTTTGTGGTTTCTTATTTTTTAACTGATCCTCTTATAAGTTCAAAGATCATTGCAGTTTCTAGTTGCTGTTAATTGTCTTCCTAACTGGTTTAAGCATATTTATTTATTTATTTATTGTCTGATGTGTTATTTCATTGTTGAACAGTGGGATAAATCAGAAGACCGTATTGCATTGATTGGATTGGGATTTGCTGGTATTGTTGGTGTTTGGGCAGCAATAAATCTTGTTGCGGTAATAGTTTTGGAGTCATCTTTTTCGTGGCTTATATTTATATTCCATACTTCCCATGATATTCTTTTTGACGTGTTCATGACAGATTTGTTCATACTGATAATAATTATCTTCTAACCTCCTTCAAAATTCCTCCTACAAACAGGCTATCGACAAACTTCCTATAGTCCCAAGTACGCTTGAATTTATAGGAATATTGTTTTCTTCTGTAAGTTCTCTGCCACTCCTAATATCCCGCTAAATCTTTCTGAAATAATGGAAGCAAAAAATGTTAAAAACCTGTGGTGGATGCTTTATCTTTTATTTATTTTTTCATTATTTATCTTGTCTAATATATCTTCAGTTATTAACTTGATCTTCTGTTTCCTCCTTTATTTTCAGTGGTTCGTATATCGCTACCTCCTGTTCAAACCTGACAGGTAAAAACAACTCTACTAAACAAAGTCTTATGATCTACAGTTTTACCCCCCTCACCATCCTCGTCTTTTAAACTATTGCTATCGGTGAAAGTATCGATAAACCTCATAGGGTTGGTCATTGCAAAACATTCTTTGCATTGGATCTTAGTTTTGATTTACCCACTATTCAAGTCTCTAAAAGTGACATGCTCAAAACTGGTTGTGCACTGCGAGTTGTAGTATTCTTGTCTTACGAAATTTACTCTATTTTATTTTTCGTGCAGAGAAGAGTTGTATCGATCAGTGAATAAATTGATCTCAGATGTCTTGGGTCAGTAACTCGAAAGGATTATGAATATGTAATTTATGTAATGTAATCTCTATACACCTATGTGAAGAGAAATATTGGTTATAAAACCCTGCTGTTTGTGCTGTGATGTTCATATGGTATTGTGATCTTTGGTGATTTATTTATTTATTTTTTTTTGTTTCTTTTTGGTTTGGTAAATTACATATTATTTTTGCCTTTTTGGTTCAACTACTTTTGTCATTCTCAACGTAAATATGATTTTGAATTAAATGTTTTAGCATACATATAAATAGTGTTTGCTAAGTTTCATATTGAACCAAAAAAAAAAAAAGAAGTTTCATATGATAATGTGAACTGATGCATTGAATGCAAAGCTAACGTCAATATCACCTTACTAGGTACTCTGCACATGTTTCAACTTACAATATTCATTCTTGGTTTTCTTAGGAAATTAAAAAGAAAAAAAGGTATTGCACAAAGTGTCATAGTTGTAACTGGTGAGTGGGGAAATCAATTTTATTGATTGTGGGGCTCGTTTGTTTGCTTTATTTTTATTTTTTTATACGATTTGATTGAGAATGTGTTAATAAGAATCGAATTTGTGATTAATTGGGAGTCATATTTTATATCCCAATTTCGTTGTTATTGTTATTTCAATTGAAATTGAACGTTCATCGCTTTTGAATACACGTAGATATATTCATTATAGCTAATTCATGCTTTGATTACGAGGTAAAAGTGAAAACCATAATGATAGATCACGAGGTTTTGTTTGTACATATTTATAAGGGTGTTTTTTGCATTAACCTAAAAAGAAGAGAACATTTTCTTGCATATCTATGTGTACTTATAAAGCGTGAAGTGCTTTTAGTCTTTTGTCAACGTTATGCATTTTTCAAGTGAAAATGGTTGTATCTTTAACTTTTGATGGATGCCTTATTGTTTATTTTCAATTTTATACTCATTTCTTGCTTAATTTTGATAGTACAATCACAAGAGTTAGAGTGTATTATATATATATATATATATATATATATATATATATATATATATATATATTGGTGTGTGTGTTCATATGAGTTTTTCTATTTTTCTTTTCCCATGTCATTTCTCTTTTTTTTTTTTTTCAAAATCAATCATGTCTTCCCCGATGTCTTTAGAGAACAAAAAATTAAATAAAGAAAAAAAATATTCCGTAACTTTTAAGATTATCATTACAATATTTTCTTCTTCTTAAACTAGAAAACTAATGTTTATTGTTCTTTAAAAATTCATGTAGAAAGCTTGGCCTTAAAGCTTTCTTGAGCAATCAAGTATGATAGTGAGCCTATCAACAACCTAACAACAATCAACCTCTCACAAAGAAGATAAAATAACTTAATCACATTTACGTTGATTCGAAATTTTGAAATTTGATTTATTTAATTTTTTAAATTAATTATGCTAATTGAATATTTATTGTCTTGAATATCTTGATATTACACTTTTCTCTAAATATTTTATTAATTTCAACACTAAAATCAACTGAACTATCTGTGCATACAAAATCATACTCCAACTTTTTAAATTCATATTACTATATTAGTGATCGTCTCATAATCAAAAAGATTAAATTTGTACAAATGAAAAGATGGAAAATGTTTATAAAACTTGAGGACAAAGAAAAAGGCGACCTGAATCTCTACGTGTCAATAGATGACAGGGACAACGACGAAACTTTCTGTAACTAATCGGTGAAACACAAAATCATAAACGCCAGGAGCCATGTTGGTCCCCGTGCTCTCGCAGCGTTCTAGACACTTCTCTCTCTCTCACAGAAGAGACAACAGAAAAAAAATCTACACAGAACTCTCACCGGCGATTTATATAAGATTTGGTTTCCGGTGGATCACTCTCACCGCCAAAGCAATACCACCGTCCACCGACCGAAACACAAAACCTTTACTCACGGCGCACTCTAGCATCCATTTCTGCATTTTTCTCGTGGCGCCTTTACGTAACTCCAACTCTTTCGCCACGGGCGCATTTTAGCCACCTCCCACCTCTATATACAATCTCTGCATTTTTATTTTTACCAATTTCAGGATTTCAAACTTTCTGCCAGCTCCAGGTAATACTCTGCAATCTGCATGTTTGCTCTGTCTTCCCCTGCCACCTTTGATGATCGTGTCTCTATGTAATGTGCGTAATCGTAACGTTTTAGAGTGTCATAATTATTTCGCAAATCTCTCATTCTTTGTTGTTTGTAGAGATATCGGTGGTTGTGTTGGAATTCATTTTTTATTTAGTTTTAAGTGGAGGCGTCAGATCTGGAAACAATTTTATTCACTGTTAAGTGGAGATATCAGATCTAGAATTCATTTTTAAATTTCTGATGTAGTGTAGATGATCGATCTCCTTGCGTTGTTTGCATGGATTGATTGCCATTGTAATAAAATGACGATATGAATTTGTGTTGGCAGAGTTGATTTGAGTTCCTAAGCAGCTGTTGATATGCGAGGGCGTGAGGGAGATATATACTCGATGTACAAACGTGCATTTAGTAAGGATCATCCACAACCTCACGAGAGGGAGGAACATTCCCATTCTTACGAGAGGGAGGAACATCCCTATCCTCACGATAAGGAAGAAGCAGGTAAAGTTACATACTCATTTTGAGATATTTAAACATCTACCTTTTTGAGCCTCAGTTGTGTAGAAATCTGTGTGATTTTAGAGCAGATTATATATAAGGGGCTATTTCTATTATTTTTTTAGTCTGCATATTGGTAAACTTGCAACTTGCAGTTCCAATAATATATTAATGCTCCCCAGATAAAGTAAAGTAAAGGGTATATAATTGAATAATAATAGTTGGTATATGTGAGGACATCCTATGCTTTGATGAACATACCTGATGGATGATGCAATGTAAAAGATTAACATAAGATTAGATACCTGATCTTTAGTTCTTGGTTTGAATGCCTAGGCCTTTTACAAAATGGGTTTTATAAAGAACTTGGGAATCCCTCCTGGAAGCGGCCCTTGCCACACATACTGGTGGCTACACTTTCTTCATTCTTATTTGGCTACCACCTTGGGTATATATTCAATTTTGAAATTCAATCTGTTAAACACTATCTTGCAAATTAAATATCTTTCTATGCCTTTAATTTTGGACTCTTTGGTTTATAGGGTGGTTAATGAGACTCTAGAAACTATTTCTTTGGATCTTGGCTTTGGTGGTAGTACTATGGCTGAAGGTATCTTCTGAGATGGATCTTCACTTTATTTGCCTTTGTAGTCTGTTCCCCTTAACTTTTCTTGTTTAGTCTTTTGCAATTTAGTCTCTTTATGGAGCTGTTGTTTTCAACTGTAGGTCTGGTTGTGAGTACATGTTTAGCAGGTGCATTTGTTGGCTCCGTATTTAGTGGTTGGATAGCAGATGGGGTTGGTCGGCGCAGAGCATTTCAACTGTCTGCTCTACCAATGATTATTGGTGCTTCTATGAGGTAAAATATGTCCAATAGTTTATTACATGCTCACATGAATGGTAATTACTAGAGACTGGTTGGAGTCTCACATTCTCTGCTCTTATTGTAAAATTTGACATGGAATGCATATTAAGGAGTATAGAAAGAGTCCTTTTATTTTTGCTTTGCCAAAATGAGGCCATGTTTAGCTCTTATTGTAAAATTTGACATGGTTGTTATAGGGATCAGAATGAATATAAGAGCAAAATGAGAAATTCTGACCTTGAATTTGATGAAATTGTCTACTATTTCTTAATTTAACTGAAGGCTTTTCAATCACTTAAGTGCAGTGCCACAACAAGTACTATTGGAAGTATGCTTCTAGGAAGACTTTTTGTTGGTACAGGAATGGGTCTCGGTCCTCCTGTTGCTGCTCTCTATGTGGCAGAGGTACACACTTTATATCTCTATATATCTTTTTCCAACCAAGAGATATATCTAAGTCTCATTCAACTATTACATTTACCTTGCATTATGGTTATCTATTTGAGCAGGTTTCACCTGCTTTTGTAAGAGGCACTTATGGGAGCTTCACTCAGATTGCAACATGCCTTGGTATTATGGGCTCTCTCTTCATTGGTATTCCATCCAAGAATGTTGTTGGTTGGTAAGATGCTTTTGAGTTGGATCATGATCTGTATTTGCATCATCTAGACTTTCATAGGCCACAACCTGCTTGTGAAGAAGCATTTGACACAATTTTGTTTTTGGCTCACTTCATACTTAGATACAGTATAGGTCGTCACTTTTAATCACAATAAGCCACTTGTTAGCTTAAACACTTGATTACTGTTGTCTTGTGTAATGATCTACAGGTGGCGAATTTGCTTTTGGGCATCTACTGTACCTGCTGCACTACTTGCTATTTTGATGGAGTTTTGTGTTGAAAGCCCCCATTGGCTTGTTAAGGTGAGAATTTCATTGACCACTGTGCATTTTAGTCATTTGTCTTTACTTGGATAGGGATGCTGAAATTTTTAATATGTTGAGAATTGTTATTCCTAATAGGTGGTTTGAAAAGAAATAAGTTCTGCACTATATTCAGACAAAGCACCTTTTAGAAGCCTATAAACCTAAAAGTGTCTTCATATATGCATATATTCTGCACTATGTACAAACTACAAAGAAAGCACCAAGCTCTAAACCGTGTGCTCTCATACTTGTCAATATCTACTTGTTCTTGTATTGGTCATTTTCACTTGAGTTTTGAGTTTTTTTTTTTTTTTTCTTTTTTTTTTTTCTGAACTTGGCACAGAGAGGAAGAATTGGAGCAGCTGAAGAAGAACTTGAGAAACTTGTCGGAGGATCACATGTTAAATCTGCTATGGCAGAATTTTCCAAGACTGAAAAAGTGGATGAGGGTGATAATGTTAAAATGTCAGATTTACTTTATGGTCTTCACTTTAGAGGTATTTAATGTTGAAAATGCAATTTCAGTGTATCATTCTCTCTTCATAAATATAAATGCTCACTATGATTTGGGCAGTGGTATTCATCGGGTCTTCCTTATTTGCTTTGCAACAACTATCTGGTATAAATGCTGTCTTCTATTTCTCTTCAACGGTGTTTAAAAGTGCTGGAGTACCTTCAGATATTGCAAACATCTGCATAGGGATTGTAAATTTGACAGGTATGGAGAGCTCTTTGA